ACCTCTTCTGCAGCAGTACGCATAGAGTTGGAGATGTGGTTCCATTGCGCGCATATATCGGCTTCTTCAGATGAATTTTCCAGATATTGGGAGAGTCGAGTAGCGAAGTCATTAGCAGTCTGCTGTGATTGCAGCTTTTCGACGTCTAGCTTTCGCTGTGCTTGTTCACGTACCTTTTTCATCGCACATAAACGTGTGCGGATCTTGGCTGCAACAAGGTAATGATCCGAGTCGATGTTGGCTCCTCGGATAGTACGTACATCCAAGACACTGGAAGCATGCCTTCCGTCTATCACAACGTGATCAATTTGAGATCTTGTGTTTTGATCAGGTGACAGCCATGTTGCCTTATGTATGTTGAGATGCTGGAATCTGGTACCACTAACCACCATGTTGCTAGCCGCGGCGAAATCAATCAGCCTTCTTCCATTATCAGAAGTTTTCGTGTGAAGGCTGAACTTTCCGACAGTAGCACCAAAGATACCTTCTTTACCCACCTTTGCGTTGAAGTCTCCAACAACGATTTTGATGTCATGATGGGGATAGCGTTCATATGCTTGTTCAAGCTGTTCATAGAAAATTTCCTTGGTGTCGTCATCTTTATCTTCCGTCGGGGCATGCGCACATATTAGAGTGATAAAGGAAAATTTTGCCTTAATCCGGATTTTTGCGACCCTTTCGTTTATTGGTGTAAACGTTGAGACCAAATTTCTCAGCTTTTGGCTTACCGCACATCCGACTCCAAACTCGTGCTTTGTTGCATGGTAGCTGTAGTAGATGTCACAATGATCTCGTTAAGAGCATCCTTGTCCCGTCCATCGCATTTCCTGGAGAGCGGTAATGTCAGCCTTATATTCCTTGAGGACATTAACCAGCTGTATAGATGCACCTTCTCTGTAAAGAGTTCGGACATTCCAGATGCATATTTTTAAATCGTGTTCCTTAATACGTTTGCGTTTGTCGTCATCAGTAGATCGTTTCCTTATCCGAGGCTGCCTCTTCGTTTGCATTGAAAGAATTTTTTAAATGGTGGGTTCCAAACTCGACGCATAACCTCATATATCCCTGAGGTGGATTTCGCTGCACACATTAGTTCACTACGCACGGATGATTGTAGCTATCCAGAGGGGCCACGTGGAGGCTGTGTGTCTACTTGGAGAGAACAGTGACAAGGATCGCGCTGGCATTTACCATGTTAAATGCAATCAGACACTTTACCTTGTATGTTCAATCCCACCCCCCTTATATTTATTACACTTCAAGAAAATTCAAGATTACGAAGAAATGTTCTAGTAACTACGCTGAGTTCCGGCGAGCGAAACCTCGGCGAAAAGGTTCATTACATGATGCAGTGTTAATTATAGAGACAGAAGTAATATGTTGTGTTTCCACAACAGTCCAAAAATAAAGTACACTTATTTTTGAACACAAAAAACTTCTTATGTTACTGTTACCACCGTTATTGATGTGTCTGCAACTGTTGTAAACTGCATGTTTAATGTTTATCGCCTTTGATATGATTTTTCTTTACTTTTTATAATATCTCACTGTTAACATTTGAGTTCTAATTTCTTTCATTTAAATGTATTAATTTTCCCTTTTGTTTTTATAAGATCGCTCAAATATTAAATAGTAATTTCTAATTGAGTACAAACGTCTTTCACAAACTGCACTTTACTTTTATATATACCATACTTTAGCTCTCTGTAATTTCAACAATTGCGGAATTTCAATTTTCCGAAAGTTGAATTTTAATTAAATGTTATTTTCTTTTTCAGAATTTATTCTTCTTAAGACACCGCATCATCAACACGGACATCACCGTAAACACACTTTCACAACACTTTCAATCCGACTGTCTCATTCTAGACTTTCCACCCATGTTTTCACTTTTGGGAAACAGTAAAATATTGATCGTCTGCGTAATGCATGATTGGAAATTTATTTTACTGCTATTACGCAGAAATTACAAAGTAAAATATTGACCTTATTACCTGTTGGTAATTGCCAATATTTGAAAACATGTCATTCTGCAAAAAGATCTGAGTGTTGAATTCAATGGCTGAATTCAACAATATTTTGCAACATCTTAGTTACCTGTTAATAACTGCTAATAAAAATGCAGTTTCGCATATAATGAAATGTTGAATTCAATGGTTAAACTCAATAATATTTTGCAACAATGGATTACAACAATGGGGTTGTACACCTGCTTCAAATGAAGAATTAATCCAACGCTTTCAAAACGAGATGCTAAGAGTCATTTCTAATGCTCGTTGGTGTACATGCAACAGTGACCTACAGTGACCGCAGATCTAATGAAATATTATGCTGAAGCATAATATTCGTGTTTTCAATATTCGTGTTACACGCTGAACACTACAGTTCTATACCATAGATCCAAATTGACTTCAATATTGGTTTGTAAATTAACAATTTGTTATCCAAACTGAGTTTAGAATTTCGATTTAGAAACCAGCACAATTTATTATATTTAAGATTTAATTGGCATCGTTTGGCAATGAATATTGAAATAAAATAACTCCACATAGTCACCATAGTCCGGTGTCCACAGGGTCTCCCTATTCCTTGTTTATTCGGGTTTTTTTCTTTTATTCATCGTTTTTTTAATTTTCACGTTTTTGTTTTTTTTATAATTTATATTGTAACTTATGGTATATATATAATTTAATAATTGTTGTAGTTATTATTTATAATATAAGTGTGTATTGCACGCATATGTTTAAAATGAAATAAGAATGTACAAAAGCTGTTGCGGTTTTTTGTCTGTTTTGATTATTCAAAATAAAACGAAATGAGGTAAAAACTTTAGACGATCTGGACGGAGAAAAAAAAGATAAAATGAATGCTGCCAAGTTGTACAAATTTATTTCGGAATGTACAAAATATCAACTAGTAACTGAAAAGCAGTACAGTTTCGACTGCCCACCAAACTTTTTTAGAGGAGTAGCAGGACAAGGTATTGCAGGCCGAAGATGAGATACACAAGGAGACAGTTTGCAGTTTAGAGGGAGACTTTTTTTTACTTCTGTGATTTTTTCATTTTTGTTTATTAATTGGCGAGTCGCTTAACGATTAAAAACATGATTGTGAAACATTTTTATATTCATATCTGTATAAAATATCATTACAAATTATTTAACAAAACAACAATTAAAGTAAAACACTTTTATATTCATATATAAAATATTTCATTATAAATGAAAAAAATCCAAACAATAAAAATTATAGTTGTGAAACTTTTTTCACAAAAGAGGTTCAATAAAGAATACATATTTTTACTATCATAATTAGATACGGTACCTTGTATATCATAAAATATTAAAAACTGTTAAAATGTTTGCTATTTTAGTTTAGGATATTTTTCACCCATGTTATTTCTTAGTTAATAATACTAAGAATTTAAACGATAACAGCCTTATAATAATAAACTGCAAATTTAAGGACATCCTGTGAACGTGCTAAATAGATACCATAGAGTTGTAAAATCTGCAATATTTTATTTTTAATATATTTTTATGATTATAATGAAAAAACATATGTCTTAAAATTACATGCTCATTATTGAACATATTGCCAGCGCCTTTATTAAGTCAGAATGGTTTAATATAAAATTTGTATTATTTATTTAAATAACTCATAAAACATGTTCATTATTGAATAAAAGTTCTTTTAAGAACTAAAATAAAAAAAAAATAATTTAAAAAGAGATAATTTAAATAAAAGTTGCTTTCACAATGCCGAACACTGATGAAGTTACCCATGAGTCTGAAGATGATCAAACATTGATGGCGGTGCCTGAACACACCTTGCATGATATCTGCCGAATGGATGTTAAAACACCGCCATTCATTAGACATGATCAAGATTTGTATTTTGTATGTAAAAAATGGAAGCGCAGTTCAAAAACGCCAACATCACAACGTATCAAACAAAATACGATCATGTTTATTTACTGCCTTGACAGCGCTAAGTTAAAAAACATGACAGATATTGTATCAAATCCTTCACTGTCTGAAAAATATGAAGCAAAAAAAAACGTTTGATCCAGGATTATGCCGATACAGAAAACCGAAAGTTGCGCCGCTTGCTGCACGAATTTTAGTTAGGCGACTTAAAATCTTTTCAGCAACTCAAAACAATGCGCAATTTCAGATGTCGATCTAGATAAGTACGCAGAGCAGGCGGATTTGATGCTCGAGATGGGCAACTATCATTCAGTTTCTGCAGTGTGAGCAAAAACAAACAATTTAGTGCGTAGCACGCCATTCAATCTTAATTCATTGATTGTTACAGTTGAAAAGTTGAACAACAGAATAAGTTCAATGGAAGCGGATGAAATCCATCGCAGGTCACGATCAAGATCAGCTATATCTACACGTCATAATCGAACCCCATACAGATATTCCAACCGAGTTGCGAGGTATCCAACCTGTTATTATCATTTCAAATTCGTCGCTAATGCACCGAAGTGTGCATCACCATGCAATTTCATAACAACGTAACTAATAATCGCTTTGTCTGAAGTCTTTTTACGCAGCAAATGGTTTAATTATTCGTACTTTCGGTAATAAGTTACTCACACTAACCTTCGGCCTACATTCAATTGAGAGTTTGTGGTTGCAGAAAACAAAAAACTAATACTGGGTGTAGACTTCGTTGAACACTTTGTCCTTATAGTAGACGTCAAACGTAAATACCTCATCGACAATAGAACTGGATGGAAAGTGCCTTGCATAGCCACACATCAGCAAAATGAAACAATATTTGCAGTAAACACTGATCACAAGTTCATAAAGCTGCAAAAAGAATTCAAATAACTGGTGATTCCAATATCCTACAACAAAATTAGGAAAAATTTAATCGCTGTCCAGCATCGTATTGTTACAACTGGCCATCCGGCTTATCCACGTCCAAGACGACTTAATCTACAGGGCATATGTGTACCATCGCAGAGTGATTGAGCCAGCCTATTAAACATGGTCGAAAAACAGAATAAGACTTGGCGACCTTGTGGTGACTATCGACGTCATAATGTGCAAAGAATACCTGATCGGTACCCAACACGTCACGTGCAAGATTTCACACAGACATTAAGCGGTAAGTGTATCTTTACAACACTGGACTGAAAAAGGGCGTATTATAATACACCAATTGCGCCTGAGGATAAGAAAAAAACATTTAATGTTATGACCTTTGGAATCTGCAATGCTGCTCAAACCTTCCAACGTCACATGGACCAAGTTCTTAGAAGACCCGACTTTATGATTTGTTATATTGACGACATCTGTATCGCTTTAGTAAATAAATCATAACATTACCAACAAGTGCGTATAGTATTCGAGCGATTTCAGCTGTACGAACTTAAGCTGAATGCGTCTTTGGCCAATAAGAAGTAACGTTTTATGGTCATACTAACAATCAACAAGGCATTCGTCCACCAAAGGTGAGATTAGAGGCAAAACTTAATTTCTCAAAACCAAACACGGTTCAAGAGTTAAGGCGATTTCTAGCTACAGTAAGTTACCATCGACGTATCCTACCTGGTGCAAGTGCAATTCAAAATACAATACAGAAACTTATAAAGACCAATACAAAGAATGACAAAACTCAATTGGAATGGGCAGAAGACGTAGAATCGGCTTTTGT